AGCTGCTATCAGGTGAACATTAAACTTATGGCAACCTTATGAATGAGAATAACATCCAAAATCCACAAGACAGGGATCCTTTTATGGGGCCAACCAAAAGGCACAAAATACACATTGCAAGCTTTGGAAGCTCCACTGGCTTCTTGGTCAAGCATACAGGAGAAATTCTTTGCTACATGGCCAACAAGGCTACCCCTGTGAATGAGAGACCTCCAAGTCACTCTGACCTCAACAGCCCTGCTCAGGTCTTGCAAAGCCAGGGTTGCCCTGGCTTCCTTAGTTGAGTCCATCCATCTGCAATGCGGTCTTCCTATTTTCCTACTGCCTTCCACCTTGGCAAACCCTATTGTCTTTCTTAATGGGTCATGTCTTTTCATGACATGTCCACAATATAATAGTCTCAGTTTATTCAGCTTGCTCCCCAAAGAGAACTCAGGCCTGATTTGCTCCAGGATCTATCTATTTCTCCTTTTGGCAGTCCAAGATATCAATAAAACCTCCTTAGCCCTGCAAGTCAAATGAACTGATTTTCTTCCTATCCGCTTTCTTCACTGTCCATCTTTCACAACCATGCATAGAAATGGGAAATACGATGGAATGGACAGTCCTAACTTGAGAATTCAATTATATATCTTTGCACTTCAGGATCTTATCTACTTCTTTCATAGCTGGATTTCGAAGTCCTTGCCTTCTTCAGGTTTCTTGTCTGCCATCACCATTCTAATTAAAGACTGAGCCAAATCTTGAACTATGGAAAATCTTGAACTATTATAGAACTTTAAAGTAGACAATAAAATAGTTCAAGATTTTCCATAGTTCAAGATTTCTGGTCATTATTTTTGTTTTTTTAATATACAAATATAAACCCACCTTACTTTCTCCAGTAATCATTCCAAGCCATTGCTATTTTCTGCTAGTACGGTAGTACGGTGTCATCTGCATAACTTAAACAGTTGATTCCAAAGGAGCTGATTCTCTTCCTGTCACCCACCAAAATACTAATGGTGATGATGATGATGATGATGATGAAAGTAAAATGACAGCCCTTTCATAAGTCTTCCTGGCAGCCCTGTTTTAAAAGCTCCTGGCCTCTCAAGAGCCTGCCAGCATCCTGAAAACCGAAAGGGGATTGTGTCAAAGTTTGTACATGCCTCTGGTGGGAGCTGGATTTATTTCTAGCTTTTTACTGTAATTGACAATTGGTGTTGTTCCAGTGAGTTGGCTCAGGTTCCTTTTCTCTGGTAGCAACTTAAAGAAGGGGTAGGCAAAGTATGCACTCCATTTATTTCTATTTTTGTTTCGTTTTTTACAGTTTTCAGTATACCCCCCCAATCCCTCTCACATCCTTTTTCTGGCCCAAAAAGGGTGTGTGTATTTGTGTGAATTGTGAAATCCTCCAGGAACTTTCATCTTTCAAATAGGACTTCCTTGCACTGTTTAACATCAAAATTGCGCATTTTCCCAAACCAGAAGTAGACTTTAGCCATTTTTTTTTAATTTGGGAAAGGTTTTTATTGTGGGGGGTATTTTTGATATTCTGTGTGACCCCCCCTGGCAGATGCTGGGGCACACACACACACACTAATCCTCCATGGTTGACCACACTTGAATGTTTACTCCATTTACAAATTTGGCTAGAGAGATTATAGCAGCCTTCTTCAGATCTAGCACCCTCCAGATGTGTTGGATTATAAAGCCCATTGTGCACAGGAGACAGGGATGACGGGGCTCATAATCTAGCATGTCTAGAGGAAGTCTGGGGTTTGCAGCCATTTTCAAAACACGCAGGACTTCCTTAATATTAAACGCCTTTATATTCCATAGTACTCACCCCATAGACTTTCCTTTCAGTGAAGGGTTGGTTCGGTCCCTCATTCAAATGAATTCCCATAAGCGTGTGAAAACTTGTTATCTGACGGTAATCCCGGTGGGCTGGTTAAAATTATATTTGAAACTGGGTTAGTGTGTGTTAAGCAGCACCCACGGTTTGGCTGCTGTTTGGATTTGTTGCTAGGGTGGATGATGCACGTTTGACATTTTTTCAAAAAAGGAAGCTATGATTAGGAGATCAGACAATTAAAAAAATGCTTGTATGGCACTTTTGAGTGTGGCCGGTGGGAGGGAAATGTGAAATAAATAATAATTGCTAAATTTGGCTTGGAAAAGGGATTAGACAAAGGGGGGTTTCAGACTGCCAGAAATAGTGCAAATTGAGTCCACTTTTAGGATTAGGGTTAGTGCTAGGGAATCATGGGAATTGTTGTTTTTCTCAGACATTGAGCCTTCTCTGTCAGACAGCTCTGGTGCCACAATAAAATACAGTTCCCATGACTCCCTAGCACTAACCCTAACCCTAAAAGTGGACTCAATTTGCACTATTTCTGGCAGTCTGCAACCCCCCAAAGTCACCATGGAGCTGAGAGCTGTATCTTATTCCTGAAAGTTGAAAAGGCCATTGGTATTCCAAGGTATGTGAACAAAACAATCATACAAGTCAAAAGCATATTAACCAAGTATGATCCACATGTACACCCCCAGACTGTTTTGCTTTTTTGTAGCCCCTGTTGACTGCCCCAAGCTGCCCCTTTCTTTGATGCAACAAAAGGTGTGGGATGAATTCCCTCTCCATGAGACTTTTTAAATGGGTCTGCAAACCAACCTTGATATAGCGGTCGCATTGATGTTGTGGTGGTGTTGGTTGTGTGCCTTCAAGTCATTTCTAACTTATGGAGATCCTAAGGCAAACCTGGGCCTAAATAGTACCCTAAGATCCTGTCTGATCTTGGAAGCTAAGCAAGGTCAGCTCTGGTTAGTACTTGTATGGGAGACCACCAACCAATACCAGGTGCTGGAGGCTCTATTTCAGAGGAAAGAACTAGCAAAACCACCTCTGAGGATTCCTTCCCTAAGAAAACCCTATGAAGATTCATGCGGTCACCATAAGTTGACAGGAGACGTGAAGGCACACATACAAGGACCTAGATCCCATCTGATCTTGGAAGCTAAGCAGGGACAGCCCTGGTTAGTTCTTGGATGGGAGACTGCTGACGAATCCCAGGTGCCATAGGCTCTATTTCAGAGGAAGGAACTGGCAAAGAAAGCCCTGTGAAATCCATGGGGTCACCATAAGTAGACAGACAACTTGAAGGCATATACACGTACACACACAAGGCGTCAACTCTGGCCAATACCTGGTTGAGAGACCACCACTGAGTATCTCTTCCAGAGGAAAGAACTGACAAAACCACCTCTGAGGATTCCTTGCCTAAGAAAAGCATATGAAATTCATGGAGTCGCCATAAATTGACGGGCAACTGGAAGGCACATGCATAGACACACCAACATGGCTATTTTGTTGGAAAACATCTGGGCATTAGAAATTGGGTTTCATTGCAGCCAGAGAGATGCACAAGTCTGCTTTATTGCTTCTTATTTTAACATGAGCTTGCAGGCTCTTTTCAGGTGTACCAGTTTTAGACCTTGCAACTCGAAAGCACAATGAGTACCTGGAAAGACTGGAAACTTGTAGGGTCATTTTTGTTTTTCAAAGAAAAGTGTTTCTTTTTCTTTACCCTTCAAGGAAACGTTTAAATTTAGTACTTGCTGGTCTAGTGAGAACCAGTTCTTTTCTTTTTTGCCCCCGGTTGATGCTGAATTGACATCCCACATATAATATAATCCAGATTTAGGATCTTGATGAATTTTTGTCATGTTCTGCAGGTGTGGCTCTGTGCGGCGTGGTAGATATTGGCACTTCCTGAGGTGGGAATTGCCATTTGCAACTGGCCATGTTGGGTGGAGCATTCTGGGAGTTGTAGTCCTAAATAGTAACTTTCACCAGGTCCTGGATTGTTTTTATATTCTAGGAAGAGCAGTGTTAGCAGCATCTTCTGAGTTCATTCATATGATCACTTGACATTGTGGAGCTGGAATTGCAAATAGTTCTCATTCTCAGTTCCTCTTGGGTGTGTATGTGAACATGCAACCTTTTTCAATTTAGAACCATAATTAATTAATTACAGACCCTCCATTCTTTCACTGTAAGACAACCCCAGGTGTCTTACTTGTTGTGTGTCTTCAAATCATTTCCAAATTATGGAGACCCTAAAGTAGGGTTTTCTTAACAAGATTTGTTCAGAGGGGGTTTACCATCATTGTCTTCCCAGAGGCTGAGAGAGAGTGACTTGCCCAAGGGTCTGCCAGTGGGTTTCCATGGATAAGGCAAACCTGTCACAGGTTTGCTTTTTTGTTTGTTTGTTTGGTGAGATTGGATCAGAGGAGGGTTTGCCATTTCCTTCCACTAAAGCTGAGAGAGAGTGATTTTTTCCATTGCTGAGCTTATCCAGGATTCTGAAATCCAAAATATTCCAAAAAACAAATTTTTTTCATAGGTAGGTGAGATAGTGACATTTTTGCTTTCTGACGGTTCATTGTACACAAACTTTGTTTCATATGCAGAATTATTTAAAATATTGTGTAAAATTACCTTCAGGCTATGGGTATAAGGTGTATACAAGACATAAATGGATGTTGTGTTTAGACTTGGGTCCCATCTCCAAGATACTGTGTTATGGATGTGTTCCGAAATCCAAAAAAATTCCAAAATCTGAAAGACTTCTGGTCCAAGCATTTCAGATAAGGGAGACTCAGTCTGTACCATGTGCTCTGATGTGATGATGTAGGTTGTGTGATTGTTAAGGTAGGTATTATTATTATTATTATTATTATTTAAAAAAAACCTTTTCATTGAAATAAATGGGAAGGCAGTATTTTGCTTCACACCTGGGGCTCATGTATGAATGCACGATGGGGCTGTGATTCTAGATAGATTGAACAGTCCTCGAAAATGACTCTGAACAAAATCTGGTGACACCCACCTTTGATATTAAGGCTATTCCCTGAAAAATCTTGTATTTGGGGAAAGCAGGCTGCAGAATCATTTTTGCAACCGCCAAGTTCTCCCACTTCTCTCCTTATTTTTATTTTTTACTACGCTGAGAGCCAGCGTGGCGTAGTGGGTTTGAGTGTGAGACTACAACTCTGTAGATCCTGGGTTAGATTCCCAGCTCAGCCATAAAACCACTGGGTGACCTTGGGCAACTCACACTCTCTCAGCTTCAGGAGAATCTCCTCTGAACAAATCGTGCCAAGAAAACCCCATGATAGGTTTGCCTTAAGGTCGCCGTAAGTCGGAAACGACTTGAAGGCACACAACAACAAACAACAACACCCTATGTCCACTAGGGAACTGATAGAGCGGGGACAATAGTCAATTTCACCCTACTTGGAGACTTTTTCTCAACTTTATTTTTTAAAATAATAAATCAAAATGGAACACCAGAAGGAGGGGAGAACATGGCAAAATTCCTTTGCACTCATAAATTCATGCTTCTAGGTGGGGCACTTTGAGTTTTAAGAATTTACCGATGTCTTGGGACGGGCACCGTGTCTGGTGGACCTCCAAAGTTAGGTGATGGGTGTGTAGGCAAGTAAGTGCCCAGCCATGTTGTGTTGGGCTTGCAAACTTGTGCAAAATGAGCCAGTCCCGCCAGACGAGAGTGTGGAAGGAGGTGTTGGTGGAAAGAGGTCAAAGAGACTTTTCTTGTCAAAATTGGGATGGTGAGCCAGTTAAACTTGACACGGCATTGTCAAGGCTGACTCATTCCGGCGTTGGGTTTGGTGTAACCTCCTTTGCAGAGCCCAGTTTGGGAACGGTGTCATTGTTCTTTTTCCTTTGAAGAAAGCAAGCACACACCCATTGGGATTCTCTGCACCCACCTCTGTTATGGTCTCTTTCACACACACACAAACACACACACAATCATAGAATCATAGAGTTGGAAGAGACCACATTCATTCAAAATCATTCCAAGCTCTTTGGCTCTGCCTCCCGCAAGGCTGTAGAATTGGAGACGGAAGCACTTTTGGGTGCAGTCGGAGAAGATAGAAATGTCCCAGCTCTGGCATCAGAATAATCCCTTCTAATATTAAATTCCTCATTTGTTGCATATTTACTTATATAGGAACTTAGGATAGTTTTCTTGTTCAAAGGTTGTAATCAAACACAGTCAGCCCGCCATATCCACGGATCCTGCATCCACAGATTCTGCTATCCACAGCTTGAAAATATTCAACAACAACAACACCAAAAAAAATCATAAAAAGCAAACCTTGATTTTGCTATTTTATTATAAGCAGGGTTATCAGCTGCCATAACCACAAAGGAGGTCAGGGCACCTCAAAGCGTAGGACATTAGAAAATAAAAGTGAAAAACAGTATATAAATGTAAATTCATGCTGCTTAGTCAAGCTCCAAATGGAGGACATTTTGGAATTCCTCTTGGACAGAAGGCTGAAATGTAGGACATGCCTGGGGAAAAGACAACATCTGGTCACCCTGATTATAAAAGGCCCTGTTTTACTACATCATTGTATATTATAAGACTTGAACATCCACAGATTTGGGTATTCACAGGGTGATCTGGAACCCAACCCCAGTGGATACCAAGGTCCCATTATAAATGCATTTTATGTACTTATGGGATTATTACATCCTTTTTAAAATGAGGCACCCAGAGTTGGACATAGTACTCCAGATGAGGCCTGATCAGTGCAGAATATAGTCCTACTGTTACTTCCCTCAACTTGGAAACTATGCTTCTATCAATGCAGTCTAAAATAGCATTCACCTTCTTTGCTGCAGCATTACACTGCTGGCTCATGTTCAACTCAACATGAGCCAGCAGTGGGATCAACAATAATCCCAAGGTCCTTTTTGTATGTAAGACTGCCGAGACATGTATCCCCCATCCTATACATGTGCATTTCTTTTTTTGTGACCTAAATGTAGAATTTTACATTTCTTTCTGTTGAATTACATTCTATTAATTGCAGCCCAGCTTTCTCATTTAACAAGGTCCCTTTGAAGTCTGTTGTTATCTTCCATTATGTTAGCCACCCCTCCTGGCTTTGTGTTACCTGCAAACGCATTTCCTCCACCTCATCATCCAAGTCATTGATAAAATTGTTGAGGAGTAATGGCTCTAGGGCAAACACTTGAGGCATTTCACTTGACCTATTTCCACTTTGAAGTACAGCCATTGTTGATGACTCTTTGAGCATGGTTTCCAAGCAATTATGGGTCCATCTGACAGTGCTCCCATCTATCCCACATTAAATCAGTTTAATAATCAAAATATCATGGGGGACCTTATTGAATGCTTTGCTGAAATCCAGATAAATAACATCCACAGCATTCCCACCATCTACTAAACCAGTGATCTGATCAAAAAAAGATATAAGATTAGTTTGGCAGGATCTGTTCTTGACAAACCCATGCTGGCTCCTCCAGATCACTGCATTGGCATCAAGATACTTGTAGACAGACTTCTGTATAATCTGTTCTAATATATTTCCTCGTATTGAGGTCAAGCTGACTGCCTTGTAGTTTCCTGGATCTTTGTTTTTTGCCTTTTTTTTGAAAGAGAGGGACTATGTTTGCTCATCTCAAGTCCTTTGACACTTCACTTTTTCTCCAGGATTTCTCAAAAATGATGGCACATGGTTCAAAAAATATATCAACAAGTTCCTTTGGGATGCAGACCATCTGGTCCTGCAGATTTGAACTCATTTAAGTTTACTACAGGGCCATCTACACTATATAAACAATACAGTTTGACAGCACTTTAATTGCTGTAGCACCATCCTACAGAGTCCTGGGATTTGTAGTTTTTCACGGTCCTTAGCAGCTGTGCCAAAGAGTGCTGGTGCCTCACAAAACTACATATTCCAGGATTCTCCAAGATGGAGTCATGACAGTCAAAGTGGTGTTAAACCGCATTATCTCTACAGTGTAGATGCACCCTTGGTGTTTCCTAACTAACTCATTACCAACCATGATTTGAAATCCAAACTCCTTGCCAAGGCCATGTAAACCCACTGGGTGACCTTGGGCAAGTCACACTCTCTCAGCCTCAGGGGAAGGAAATGGCAAACCTCTGAACAAATCTTATCAAGAAAACCCCATAGGGTTGCCATAAGTTGGAAACGACTTGAAGGCACACAACCACCACAACAAAGTCAATCATATATTCTGATATATAATACTTCTATTTACTAAGGTCCCATCTTTCCTTTTCCTTCTGCCCGTATGCTTGCGTTGCTTGCACTGCTTTTAATAATTGTTTTATTTAAAAATTCCTCATCCATGTCTATATTCTAAAGGTTTAGAGTTAAGCGTCATTCTTTGTTCAAGTCTTGTTTCCCCTCTGTTATTCTATTTCTTTTGTGTTTCATTTCCTTCCAAAAATATTTGTCGTTTGCTACAAACCCACAGGTTTTCAGAGGTTTAGGCAAGCAGCCTTTCAAATCAAGCTTTGTGTGAAAATTTGCCCGTAGATTTTCTTTTGTCAGTGCTGATGGCTTCTTAGCTGAGCATAGTCACGGGCTCCAAAAACAGTGAATCAGCAACTCCACAAAAGGGACATGTGAACGCATGTGATGTGAGATCAGATCCTTGGTGCATTCCAGCCAGCGATGTTTCCCAGGGATGCAAAAAGTTCCCACAAATTTTCTCATCCTTGACAATAAAATATGCCTTGACGCAGTGAGGCACACTCATTAAAATATAATCAACAACTGCTACAAAGATTTTTGTATTTAAAAAAAACCCGAGTCTTCAAGACCTGAGCAGAACAGGTGATGACCAGAGCTGCATCTGCACTGCAGAAATAATCCAGTTTTACACCACTTTAAAAGGTGTCTGTATATGCCATGGCTCAATGTGATGGAATCCAGGGAGTTGCAGTTTTGTGAGCTGCTTAGTCTTCTCTGTCGGAGAACTCTGGTGCCACAACAAACTACAAATCCCAGGATTCCATAGCAGTTGAGCCATGGAAGTTAAAGTGGTGTCAAACTGCATTCATTCTGCAGTGTAGTTACAGCCCAGAGCTTTTGGTGTCAGAGTCTCCATAAGTGAAATTTGTATTGATATCAAATAACAAAACTCCTTTATCTGTGGGCTTTTCTTAGTCTGCATTGTGGAAAGGGTGATATATATATATATATATAATTTGTACACTTTGCAGAACATATACATACCACAGACGTATAAATTACAAACAAGAAAAACCTAAAAACACAAATAAATACTAATATATACAAATGACTTCATCTCCTCATCCTAATTTTTGTTCACATCTTAAATTTTCTTTCTTTCCACCATTTTAGCTTATATTTATATCCTCTGTTTCTTTTCTAATTAATCCACATTCAATCATTCACTTATCAAAACCATACCCATATTCTCAGTTATTTATTATTCTCTGATAAAAAATAATTTTCCAAAAATAAAACTGCAGTTCTTCCCCAGTTACCTTTACAAAACTTTACCAGTAGAAAGGGACATTTTGATGCTTTTTGGTGCAAAAGAGTGATGTTTCAAGCACGCATGTGAAACGGTGGTTGTCTTTCTCCTCTAAAACATACTTTTCATTCAGAGAGTATATAATATATAATTCAGTTACTGAGCCATGTTCATCTGGAATTTCAGTCTGCAAAGGGATCTCGTAGCACCTTTGAGACTAGCTGAGCGAAATAAGTTGTAGCATTAGCTTTCGTAAACCTAGGGTGCATATACACTGTAGAAATAATACAATTTGACACCACTTTAAGTCCTGTAGCTCCATTCTATGGAATCCTGGGATTTGTAATTTTGCAACTTTAAATCCTGTAGCTCCATCCTATGGAATCCTGGGATTTGCAGTTTTTCAAGGTCTTCAGCCTTCTCTGTCAAAAAGTGCTGGTGCCTCACAAAACTACACATCCCAAGATTCTGCAGGAAGGAGCCATGGTAGCTAAAGTGGTGTCAAACTGCATTATATCTACAGTGTAGATGCACCCTTGATGTTTCCTAATTCACTACCAATTTTGATTTGCAATCCAGATTCCTTGCAAAGGTCTCTGCTGCTGCATGGAAGTGCACAGTCTTCTTTTTCTGTATAATTCTGTATGACTCTGGAGACTAGGGTTCGAATCACACTCTTTCAGACTCAGAGGAAGTCACCCTCTCTCAAC